TTTTCTTTTTTTCTTCTTTTTTAGCCAACCAAATTTTTGGCAATATTTAACAGACACCCATAATAAAGATATGTTTTCTGTATTTTTAATGACAGCACGTTTATTAGCGCCGTCCTCTTCATTCTCGTACCCAAAGCCTTACTCAGCTTTCTAACGAAAAAACATTTTTTTTGGTTAGAAGGATCTGGTTACAAGAATGCGTTTTCTCAGGAAGTGCTACTGCGGTTTTGGAAAGATTGTGTCTAGATGGAATACTCGCACTCCTGGTGATTGACTAGATGGAATACTCGCAGTCCAGGTGATTAACTAGATGGAATACTCGCAGTCCAGGTGATTGACTAAATGGAATACTCGCAGTCCAGGTGATTGACTAGATGGGATACTCGCAGTCCAGGTGATTGACTAGATGGAATACTNNNAGTCCAGGTGATTGACTAAATGGAATACTCGCAGTCCAGGTGATTGATAATGGAATACTCGAAGTCCAGGTGATTGATTGATCCCATGGGATCCCATCTAGTCAATCAGCTGGACTGCGAGTGTCCCATCTAGTCAATCACCTGGACTGCGAGTATTCCATCTAGACACAACCTTCGCAGAATATCGAAAACCGCATTAAGAATTTCGTTAGAATTTGAATGTAGTCGATCCCTACTTCTTTTTTTCTTTCTTTTTTTATCTTTGATAACGTTTTGATGGATCATGCTTTGTCGCATTCGGAAGGCCGATAATAATCAGTAAGGTGGTGAATAAATTGATCTTCCCAGATCTGTTATTCGTGATCTGATAAGAATCTACACAACTTATTTTTTAATTAAAGGATTCAAGGGTTACGCTTATCTTTCAAAAAGCCTGGCATTCGTATTTCAAATATGCCAAGAAATATCGACAATAAGATAGAGTGATGCTAATGCAGGCTACCTATGAGCAACCAAAGAAAATGTTGGTATACCAAAAAAAAAAAAAAAAATACAAGCTAGATAAATTTTTTTGTTGAGGAACCTTACACCAACATGGCCGCAAACTGACTAAGAATGCATGTCATTGGATAGAAGTTTTCATTCTGAAATATTGAATTCGAGGGTTTTTGTCTGTTTTCCATTGTTCCGCCGACTCACCGAAAACACAATGAAGGCTTCCCAACCACACTAATACAATAGACCCCTTTGCATTGAATTCCTAGAGGAATTATTCTGGGGGACAAAACAATAGGCCGTCTTTTCTTATGCAAAAAAATCCATTGTTTTGTCCCCCAGAACAATTCCTCGAGGGACTTAGTGCAAGGGGTCTATAGGCCTTCGTTTTCCGAAGTCTTCACTCTGAAGAGCGTTTTAATGAACTGTATGCGTGTGTGTTTGGTCGTTTTTGTGTGAACGCAAGGCAAAAAAGCATCGCCAAAAGTATGCGTTTTTAAACGAAAACGCATTAGCGCGGATTTGGCCTCTTTATACTTTGACCGATTTTAGTTCGCCCGTGAAACAATGTTGTATGATTATATAGTGCCTAACAGTTATCATTATTACAATATAATTATTTTTTTACTGGCGAAGTAAAAATCACTCTAGTATTGCGATCTGTCATCCATTTTAATGAATCATTTCTGAAACGTAGTGTTTCTAATAGAAACAACCCTTTAACGTTGACTCACCGTAGATTGTGATTTGATGCTTAGAACAAGTTGAAGAACCAGCAACGCCGACAGAATTCCCATCTTGTGTCCAAAATGGCTGTAATTCATCGATCGCCGATCAGTAACCTGTTATGGAATCACAGTGAGGTTTAATAGGAATTTGGGACCTGAAAATACGAAGAAAGGTGCGAGAAAAGAATAATTCAAAAGGTACAAGTTCTTGCTTGAGAAATATGAAGCAATCAAATACATTTATAAAGGCCTTTCAAAATATTATCGTGGATGCAAGGCTATCATGAAAATACAAAAGAAATAGCACCAATTCCATAGAATATTATGATTTCACTTCGTGCTAGACTCGCATCAAAGGCAATAAGTTTTGAAAGGCGTCCATATCTATCGAGCAACACACCTCCTGAAACGCATTGAGTTATAAGACAGGCAGCAGAAAGATTCGTGATATATAGGACATAGCTATCAACATCTCATGAAGGTTAAAGTTTTCGACGGCTTAGATAAAATTCATCTCTCCCAACAATTGTCAATAGAACATTTCCAAATTCCTAGAATAGCTGGAATAACTTGTGTTTCTTATGTTCATTAGTCTCGCCAAGAACTTGGAAAACTCGGGCTACTCCGTACTCCTTCAAAAGCTTCAGAGGAACGTCTTATTACGATGTAATATCTAAGGAAAAATAAGCTTACTTTGGTGTACTTTTGAGGTTTTGTATTATTATTCTCGTCAAGAACGCCGGGACGTGAGTGTTGAGATATCCAGGAGGTTGATGAAGAAATTGGCTTGAGAAGCACGGGTGGCGTAGCGATGATAGATTTCACCTCTCACCAACAGGGTTTGGGATGGAGGGGGGAAGAGGGAGGGGAGGAGGAAGGGGAGGGGAGGAGGAAGGGGAGGGGAGGAGGGAGGGGAGGGGAGGGGAGGGGTTGCACCCTAAGGATATATTTTTGAAAGGGATTCGATTCTAATATATGTCTTCGTTTGCACGTCATATTGATGGTACGTCACGAAACATGGCCGCCATATCTTTGTCATTTAACATGACTCTCTTGAAAAGGCTTGCAAACCATGATCAAAAGTTTAGTCCTTTTTACTGGGTTACCTGTGGCAGCCCAGTCGTAAAATGCCTTTGGTTTTATTTTCTTCTCCATCTCGCAAAAAGTGAGAGTACCCATATATAGACAAAGATTAGGTGTTAAATGAGCTTCAGTATACCCGCACATTGGGCAACCCAGTGCATGCTCCAAGAGCGTCTTGTTTTTTCGCCACTATATGCTTTCTAAACATTTCTACTTCTGCTCCCTCGGCATCCCATAATTTAAGATAACTGCTTTATCAGTAAAAAACGAGTCTGCTTCAGAGGTCTACTTATTTTCTGCTTGTATTCGAACGAAGTCTTGCCGCCTCTCCCTATCCACAGGGGCGGCGTAAGCTGAAAATCTTTTGGGGGGGGGGG